ACTGCCATCACATTCCGAATTCAAGGATAGGCAGGTATCCACCAGATCCAATAAGCAGAAATCCTGCTATCAATAATCTATATATACTGTATATATACATCTCAAAACCCTCTGTTCTTATTACAACTTCTCATTGCCTTCTCAAGTCTGTCGCTGGGAAGACTTCAATATATGAATAAAAACCAGCAAAACATAATGAGAGAGAGAAACATTTCCTACTATTATAGTTTTGTTGATTGCCAAATAACGTTACCTACAATGYAAAAATAATATAAATGGTCAAATAACCAAAACTTGTGCAATCTTACTTGTAAAAGGGAAATCCCATGCAATCTATTTTCAACACAATGCTGGTTAATGCACAAACATTGCTCGTTCTGGTGCTGCCCTGTGAGGAGAGACAAGATGTGTTTCTGCATGCTATGAGGTATCTAGCCTTTTTAATATGATATATAAATACTGGCTGAGTCACTTTTGARAGACACCTGTTAACATCAAGTATGAACAGCAGAGGGTGCTCCACATTTTTATTATTAGTATAACTTTAAAGCTATTATTTTGAGTCACCTCATGTTAGTTTTATTTGTTTTCTCTCCTTAGCTTCAGTCAAAAAATTTGAAGCTTCCTGCCTCAATGTAAACTCTTAAACTTAGCCTCATGAGTGAAACTGATGGAACTGTGTCTCGTCACAACCCTCACTGCATGGTGCACCAGCAGTGCTAATATTGTAATCGTTCCTATTTTCAGTAATTTTGTTTTTATGCAAGTCCAAGTCTAAGCACAACAGAAACGTTGATTTCAGAAACATTTTTTTGTCTTTATTGTTGGAACAGTGACTTTTGTGAGGCCATTTTGTTGTAAAAGCAGTTTTTTTTTGTTTTTTTTGCATTTCGTGATAAAAACAGAATTGCAGAAACAGTTGTGCAAAGATATGCAGACAAAAGAGAACAAGTTTGGTTGTTTAGATCCCCAAATGCAGAAGCTAAAGTTTTACTTAATGCGTATAAAACAATAAACATTAATCTAAGGTTTTGTTTGACAGAGACGTGAAGTATCTGCAGCTGTGGAGTAAAGCTCTACACATGCTTCTCATAGTGAACAGGTAACCCTCCTCGGCAGCTCACTACAACACTTCTGTTAGTGAGAAGCTTCCCCTTGTACTGACACCTGGGCTTCTTTACATTATTCTTCAGTTTACACACAACAATWCTGAACTTTTCTTTGCTGCACATTTTCTCTTCTGGATCGTTTGGTTTTTGGTCCTGACAAATAGATTTGACTTRCTTTGCGGGCGCGAGGATGAAAGTGTTGACCACCTTACAGCTGTTGTTTCGACCGTAAATCTTCTTCTTCTTGATCTCTGAGTCACATTTTTTAGCTGTCATGTGTGGATCTATGTGTTGTCTTTTAAAGTCCTCGTAAGTTGCATTTAGGAGTGGTTCTCCCATTGGTTCAGAATAGTTTGGTTCTTTCCAGAACTCCAGAGCTCCGACCTGCAGCAGCCACACACAGATGAGCAGACAGGAATGTAGGATCCTCATCGTTCTCTGGGGAAAGAAAAAAAAAGAAACATCTTAGCTTCTTTAAGAGACCTGATTCAGTTCTGAAATATGATTTATAAAAAATATATATCCTATTAGAAAACATTTTCTTCTCATTTTAAATACATAAAGGTTTAATGCTGATGTTATCAAATCAGATCACCTTGTTTTTGGCTGATGTAAAAAGTGTCAAACTGGTTGAGCTGCAGGAGTTCAGGGTCCTCTGTAAACACATCAGATTATATGAGCTCAGCTGTATCTGATCTATGAAACAATCTATTACTGCCTGTTGCTAAAGGTTCCAGTTACCCAACAATTCAGAMAAGTAAGGAACATTTTATCCAACACTGAAGATGTCTGCTGAAGATAAAAATAATAAAAATTCTACTGAAGGCTTCTTTTGGACATATACAATAAAAACTGTGATGCTTACAGTTAGATAGATTATATAACTTAGATTAATAATTTAAAAAATATTCCATAAATCAGCATGTTATATTGTGACAAGCAGAGCTACAAAGTCTTTGCCTGTGTGTGTGTGTGTGTGTGTGTGTGTGTGTGTGTGTGTATATAAAAATAGTTTCCATGACCTTTTAGCCAAGATTCTGTAGGGAAACCCCTCATCTCAC